ACATCGTGGACCTCGTCCACGATCTCTGCACTAGGCACAGGAAAGTGGCCGGCGTGGGCAGGAGAGCTGCCAGCCTGGCCACCCAGGACCAGGTGTGCATGAAAATCAAGGGGGTCCACTGAGACCCCCGACACTGAGCCCTGAGCTTACAATGGCCGTCCTGGGTCAGACCAAAGGTCCATCTAGCCCAGTAGCCTGTCTGCCAACAGCGGCCAACCCTAGGGACCCTGGAGGGGATGGACCGAAGACAATGACCAAGCCATTTGTCTCGTGCCATCCCTCTCCAGCCTTCCACAAACTTTGGGCAGGGACACCACTCCTACCCTCTGGCTAATAGGACTCCATGGACCCAACCTCCATGACTTGATCTCACTTCCCTTTAAACTCTGTTCTAGTTGTAGCCTTCACAGCCTCCTGCAGCAAGGAGTTCCACAGGTTAACTATTTGCTTTGTCAAGAACAACTTTCTCTTACTAGTTTCAAGCCTGCTACCCATTCCTTTCCTTTGGTGTCCTCTAGTCCTTCTTTATGGGAACTCATGAAGAACTTTTCTGAATGCACCCTCTCCACCCAACCCCTGCTTTTAGAGACCTCTATCCTGTCCCCCCTCCGTCTCCTCTTTTCTAAGCTGAACAGTCCCAGTCTCTGTAGCCTTTCTTCATCTGGGACCTGTTCCCAACCCCTGATCATGTTAGTTGCCCTCCCCTCTCCCAGCCTTTCTCTTCCCCTCTCCCACCTCCTTTTCCCAGTCTCCCCCAGTTTTTTTTCAATAAAGACAGAGTCAATGTTGGAAGAAACGTTATCTTTATTTTGTACATCAATAAGAAGGGGGGCTAGGGAAGGGTAAGTGGAAGGAGGTGAGGGAGGAATGGGGTACGAGCCCCCGATGGGGAGGACTGGGCTGGCTCTGCGGGCTTCTGGGGGTGGAAGCTCTCCTGCAGCCCCCCAATTACTCCCTCTCCCCAGATGGCAGCCTGCGGCAAGTGCAGCCGGGCTGATGGCCGAGTGGTGTGATGTGCCCAGTGTGGGCACTCAGGGCACTCCAAGCCAGAACTTCTTTGCAAGCGGGGCACCCCTTAGAACTGTGTGTCCGGGGTGGGGGTCGGGACCCTTTAAGCGCAGCCCTCGGCTAGCCTGAGACAGCATCTCCATGCTCTAAGTCCTCCTTTTATGCCCTGCCGGCACTGCTTCCGGCCATCCTTAAGCCCTGTTCAGAGTCCACTCAATGTGGACTTGCTAGTTCGAACTAGCAAAACGCTAGTTCGAACTAGTTTTTAGTTCTAGATGCGTTAGTTCGAACTAGCTTAGTTCGAATTAACTAATTCGAACTAAGTTAGTTCGAACTAGCGCTGTAGTGTAGACGTACCCTGAGTGTTCTCTAAAATGTTATCTCTTAAATTAACCTGTAACAGCATAAAGTGTATTAGACTGCACCCAGACTACATTATTTTGCAAACAGAGCCTTTGAAAGATAAAGTAGTTTGGACATTTCAGTTAGTACTTTGTTAATAATATTTGGCTATATAAAATGTCTCTATTTGGCTATATACAGCTTTCTTGTTGGGGAAAAATACATTAAAAATAACTTTTTGGGGACCTAATTTTGGTTTGTTAACCCAGAATAAACCTGGAATAATTCTGTTGAATTCAATTGAATTATTTGGGATTTAAATGTGTGTATGTGAGACCAGAATTTGGCTCTGCATTGCCAATATTTCTGAAAATCTATGGTGAATTTTTAAAGTATGCTTTTAAAAGAATGGTCTTGGCACACCTGTTAGTTATATTACTAAAAATTGAATTGGTTTCTACTATTCAGCAAGTGATTTTCAATCTTGCTCTTTATCGCTTCTGTTATATTTATATGTCGTTATAAATTTAAAGAAAAATGTAGTTTTCATCAGATGAAAGTTGGAATGTTGGCTCCATTGAAGTTGATGGCCAAGTTCCCATTGACTTCAAGGGGTCAAGATTTCACTCCATGTGTTTAAATGAACACTGCGTTTCCTTCTGGTTTCCCAAAATAACAGCACTAAATACGTCTCCAGTGGAGTGCACTAATTTGCAACAATCAAGGCACAGAAGATAGCTCAAGGGAAGGGAGTCAGGGAAGAGGCAGAAGCACTAACAACACTTGGTTTTCAGTCATCAGAACACTAGTCGTGGGCACATTCTTGAACTTTTAACAGTCATTGCTAGATTATGAATTGAAAGACGGGAATGAGGTAATTGCCTTGTGAAGTAGGAGGCTTGTCTCTGGTTATGAATTTATAATTAAGGAAGAAATGTTAGGGGGATTTGATATTTAGAATCCCTTTTCAACAAGTTTAATATTTCCCCTCTTCGCTTATTTTCCTCAGTTTAGTATTCTTTTTCTCTCCCCCACCAGGATATCTCCCCACAGAAATAAGAAAATATGCATTTTTACAGACTATCCTTACCTTTCACATTTCAATTCCTTTTCTAATTTTATATACTATTTCTGTTTATTATTTTCTCTTCTACTCTGTCCTCATATCTTTTACTTCACACATAATTTTGACAGGAAGGGCAGATAGAGAATCTCTCTCATAGGAATTTGAGCAAGAGCAAACTGTATTTAATATACAACTGTTATCATTGACCTACCTTTTACCAGTGTTGAAGATCAGGTTGAAGAAAAGGCCGAAGTTTATCTTTTAAACTTTTAAAGGCCAAACTTTATCTTTTATGTGTTTTATTTAGATATTTTTGGAGCCCAGCAAAAATTTTAGAATGTCAAACAGCTGAGGCAACTGGGGAAAAAACAGCAGCAGGGAGAATACAAGCTGTTGTTGCAATTGCCTGAACCACACAAAATTTGTAACCCAAGGAGGTGGGAGGTGTTATTTCCAGCAGGTATTTACTCATCTGTGTGGCTTAAAAGAAACAACCTGGCTCCTGCCATACTTTATGTTCATCTGCTCTGTGATGCATACATGGAGAGAGCTCTGTTTTAGAGGCAACCTCCTACCTGTTACCACTACTTTTTGCTTATTTTTATCATTCTCTGAAAATTACCTTAGGCCAAAAAAATGGTTTTTTGACACATTTTAGCCATAAAATTTTGGTCAACATTTGCTAGTTTTACTTGAGGATAATTTTTCCCATAACTTTAAAAGTCATAGATGTTCCTAGCATTTAGATTAAAATTGACTGGCTCATTACCTAAAATGTATTATACTACCTACACACTTGAGTTCAATTAGGACTATATCATCTTGCAGGTATGTCACGTTGCAACTATAAACCATACTGTACATGCAGCTTTCTCTAATTATTCCTTTCTCATTTAAATACACACCCTCCATCTCAGAAAGCAAGAATAATGAGACAAGCAGTCATAAAAAATGAAGTGGTGAAGATTGAGTGACACTTTCTAATGAGCATACATGGTGTGTGTAGCATTTATCAAATATGAAAGAATGTGAAAGACAGACAAGTGAAGAATAAGGCAGATGAAAGCTAAAATAAGTCATCTGCACTGCCAAGTGTGAGGAATATTTACATGGAATTCTTAGGAACACTTTTTGCACATGGATATTGTTTTAGCCACTTCAGTTCAAAAGACCTGAGCCCTGGAAAATAGACTTAGCTTTGGCTGTGAAGTTCACAGCTGTACTTTGTGACTTATTTTAATGAAAGAGAGTAACTGGATTAGTGAGATGAGGATTTAAATATCAGTTTCTAAAGGGAATGAATCAACACATAATTCAAACCCTTCATATGAAGGAATGTCTTAATTTTCTACTTTGTCCACACTACAGCAGTTCAATGTAATTTACTTTCCTCTGAGGTTTGCATCTCCTTACCCACCTCCCTAGCACATAATCCACATCAACTTAAAATGCCATCTACATCACACTGTGTCTGAGGGAGATGCTCTCCCACTGTCATAGCTTCTGCCACTCTTTAATGGTAGAGGCACATTGATGGGAGAGTGCTCTCTGGTCAGCATAGTGTGTTTTGACCAAACATGCTAAATCAACACTGCTACACTGAATCCGTGGTGCCAATTTATTGCAATAGCAAAGACAAACCTAACATTCAAATTTCAACAAATAGTCTGGTAGCAATTTAAAGACTAACAAATATGTAGATGATATCATGAGCTGTCAAAGTTTCTCTGATCAAATCTAACAGAGATTGGTAATCTTTGTGAAGTGAGTTGCTAGAAAGTTGGTGTATATGCTGGATTTGGAGGGGTATCCAAAAGGTGAAGAGCTCTATATACATTACCAATCACCTCAACTGTCCAGCTGCATCTAGACTGGCATGATTTTGCGCAAATACTTTTAACGGAAAAGTTTTTCTGTTAAAAGTATTTCCACAAAAGAGCGTCTATACTGGCATGTGCCTTTTTGCGCAAGAAATTAATGTGGCTGTCTACACTGGCCCTCTTGTGCAAGAATACTTGTGCAAGAGGGCTATCCCTGAGTGGGAGCATCAGAGTATTTGCGTAAGAACCACTGATTTTGTACATTACAAAATCAGTATTCTTGCGCAAATACTCGCGGACAGTGTAGACAGGCGGCAAGATTTTGCACAAAAGCAGCTGCTTTTGTGCAAAATCATGCCAGTCTAGATGCACCCTCACAATAATAGTGGCCAGGATGGTATTTTCAGGTAGATTACTGATGTTTTGAAGTTTCCTCAGGAAGTCAGTGGTGTGGTGGAGGTAGCTTGGAGTGCTGGTAGCATAGGGTCTGAGGAGGGAGTCGATACAGCCAGATAATCCTGTGGTAAGTGTGCCAATGCTTGAGATGATGGGTCGTCTGGGATTTCCAGGTTTGTGTATCTTGGGTAGCAGATAGACTCCCTCCTCAGACCCTATGCTACCAGCACTCCCAGCTACCTCCGTGACACCACTGACTTTCTGAGGAAATTTCAAAACATCAATAATCTACCTGAAAATACCATCCTGGCCACTATGGACATAGAAGCCTTTTACACCAACATTCCACATGAAGATATATTACGGGCCAGCAGAAACATCATCCCCGATGACAGCAATGCACACCTGATTACAGAGCTCTGTGACTTTGTACTAACCCACAGTTACTTCCGATTCAGAGACAATTTGTATCTTCAAGTCAGCGGCACAGCCATGGGCCCCTGCATGGCACCACAATATGCCAAAGTATTATCCACAGTCTACAACCTATCTTGGAAAAGAATCCCTCACTCTCAGAGGCCATGGGAGAAAAACTTATTTTCACTTACAGACAACCCCCCAACCTGAAACAAATTATTTCCAGTAACCATGCTACACAGCTACAGCATAAGCATCCAGGAACCCACTCCTGCAATCAGCCCAGGTGCCAACTCTGCCCACATCTCTATACAAATGAATTCATTACTGGAGTCAATCACATCAACCACCAAATCAGAGGTTCATTTAACTGCAAGGCTTGCACAAGCTCTGTGCTCCCCACCATCAGCCCAGTCCCTGAACCTAGCCATCTGGGGCTCTCTGGTCCAGCAATATATGTGGTCCTGATGGACTATGGATGTTGCCAGACCAGAGAGTCATGGATTTTAGAGGTTCAACCTGTAGTGGCTTTTATCCTTTTGCAGTACAATTACTTAAGATTAGCGGTGCACACTGATCAATGTATATCATGTAGACATTGACAAGTGCACTACATGATCCCCTCTTATTATATGAAAAAAAATCAAGATATTCCACAAACTGACAAAGACCCAGACAAAAATGGATTTTTGACTACTTAGCTCCCATAGGGTACATCTAGACTACAGGCTTTTGTCGACAGAGGCTTTATCAACAGATACTGTCGACAAAGCCTCTGTCGACAAAGAGCATCTAGACTACAACCACTTCTGTCGACAAAGCAAGCCGCTTTTTCAACAGAGAGTCTAGATGCTCTCTTTTGAAAAAGCATAGTGTGGATGCAATAGCGCCTTTTGTCAACAGAACTCTGTCAAAAAAAGGCATTATTCCTCGTAGAATGAGGTTTACCTCTGTCTACAAAACTGCTGTGTTCTGTCAACTTACTGTCGACAGAATTCGGTGGTAGTGTAGACACAGGTATAGTTTTGTCGACAAAAGTCCACTTTTGTCAACAAAACCCTGGGGTGTGTCTAGACTACATGCCTCCTTCGACGGAGGCATGTAGATTAGCCAGATCGGAAGGGGGAAATGAAGCCGCGATTAAAATAATCGCGGCTTCATTTAAATTTAAATGGCTGCCCCGATCTGCCGATCAGCTGTTTGTCGGCAGATCGGGGGAGTCTGGACGCGATGCCCCGACAAAGAAGCCTTTCTTC